CGTAGGCGGCGAGGGAGCGGTGTCGGGGCGCCACCGGTCGATTGAAGTACGCACTGGGGTGCTTGTCCTGGATCAACACCGCCCCGAAGCCGTGGGTGGACTCATCGCACTCGACGACGAATGGTCGTGCGAAGTCCGGAAGCGCCAAGACCGGAGCTGAGATGACCGCGGTTTTCAGGGCCTGGAAGGCCGCGGCGGCGGCGTCGTTCCAGTTGAAGCCCTCCTTCTTTAACAGCGCCGTTAGCGGAGCTGCGATGGCGCCATAGTCGTGGACGAACTTGCGGTAATAGCCCGCAAGGCCCAAGAACCTCTGCACTGCCCGGCGGGGTCCATGGCGACGCCGGCGTCGGAGATGACGTGCCCCGGGTAGGCGATGGAGCGTTCGCCGAAAGCGCATTTGGAGCGCTTGACGAAGATGCGGTGCTGTTGCAGAACGGTGAAGACGGCGCGCAGGTGGCGAAGATGATCCGCCCATGATGCACTGTAGATCAGAATATCATCGAAAAACACGAGTACAAATTGACGAAGAAAAGGCCGCAGCACGTCGTTCATCGGTGCCTGGAACGTCGCCGGAGCGTTGCACAACCCGAACGGCATGACCAGGAACTCGTACAGACCGTCGTGGGTGCGGAACGCCGTCTTGGCGATGTCGTCGGGGCGCATGCGGACCTGATGGTAGCCCAAACGCAGGTCGAGCTTGGTAAAAAACTTGGCGCCGTGGAGCTCATCAAGAAGCTCGTCGACGACGGCTATCGGGAAGGCGTCCTTGACGGTGATGGCGTTCAGGGCGCGGTAGTCGACGCAGAACCACCACGAACCGTCGGCTTTCTTGACGAGGAGGACGGGTGAGGAGAACGCCGAGGAGCTGCGTCGGATGAGGCCTTGTGCCAGCATTGCGGCGCACTGGCGTTCCAGCTCGTTCTTGTGCGAGGCCGGGTAGCGGTAGGGGCGCACCGCGATTGGCTGCGAACCGGAAACAAGAGTGATGCCGTGGTCGCGGGCGCGGGGTGGTGGCAGCCCGTGCGGTTCGTCGAAGATGTCGACGAAGGAGGCGAGGAGCTCGTCCAGCAGAGACGGCGTCGCCGTGGTGGTGCAGATGGTGGTCATCTCGGGGCCCTGGACGCCCTGCCAACAAACCCGCTGACCGTTCCGGTGGAACGTCATGCGCCGGGCACCAAAATCCTAGAGGACAGGGCCCAATGTTGCCAGCCAGTGAGTGCCCAAAACCATGTCGAAACCTGCAAGGGGCATGACAAACAGATCGGCATGAAAGGTGTCGCCGTGGATGGCGATCGCGGCCCGGCGGATGACGCCCACGCAGGAGACGCGTTCGCCGTTCGCCACTGTTGCCGTGAGCCGGGGGCAGCGCTGTAGAGGAAGGCCAGTGCGTTGCGCCGCGGACTCGGAGATGAAATTGTGTGTGGACCCCGAGTCCAGGAGCGCAAGGAGCGAAGTACCCCCGAGGCTGACGTGGAGCTGCATGGTGTCGTTGAAACGAACACCCGCTATGGCGTGAAGCGAGAAGACGGGCGACTCCTCCTCGGCGGCCGCCGGTTCGGACGACTCCGGGACCTCCTCCGTGTCATCCACCAAGTCATCCGGCAGAACAGCGTTGCGGACCTTTTTGTTATGACCGCGTCACAATTTCGTCGCAGCTTATAACAGAGGCCCAAAAGGCGGCGCCCTCCTCGCTTTCGGTATGGTGGTCAGCGCTTGATGGACCGGCCCTCCACGATGGCGGTAGTCGATGTGGACGACGTCGTTGTGGGAGGCGCTGGGAGGGCGAGACGTTGAACTGGTGCTGGCAGAAGGCCGCGCGTGGCAGCGCGGTGTGGCGTCGTGGTCTACTGCTCTCGCAGCTCTAGCTTGCGGGACAAACTCATCGCGTCGGCGAGGGTCTGCGGGTTGTGGACCTCGACGTCGAAGCTGAGCGGCGGTAGCAGGCCGCCGGTGAAGAGTTGTACCCGCTGGGCTTCGTCGAGGGGTCCCGCACGGGGAAGGAGCGCTTAGCGGGTCCGGTACTCGATATGGTGGTCTTGCGCGCGCTGCAGATCGCCACCAAGAGGGGGTTGGATCGGAGGGAGGGCCGTGGCGAGGTTCAAAAAGTCCTTGAAACGGCGCCAGGATGGAATGCCTTCGTCCTGCTGGACCTGGATGTACCACATCTGGGCGCCCTCCTCCAGATTGTAGGAGGCCATCCACACCTTCTCCTCCTCCATGATTCGCTGCTGATGAAAATACGACTCGCACCTATTGATGAAGATGAGAGGATCGAACTTGCCGTCGTACCACGGAAAATCCATCTTCTGGAACCGTGGCGGCCGGTCCTGGTGGTGCTCGCCGGTGATGGACTTGCCGGAGGGCGATCGGGAATCAGCTGTCAGGCGTTCGATGGCCCGGGAATTGGCTTCAACCGAGGTCTGCAGGGTCTTGAGGGTGGCGGCTAGGGTCTCCAAGGTGGCCTTGAGGTCGGTGTTGTCCCCCATGATGAAGGCGCTGCGATCGGCGGTCGATGAAGATGCAGAGGGCGGCGGCTGTGGAGAGGCGCCACACTCAGGCGAGGAACGCCGGGATCGTGATACCAGGTTGTCAAGGGCGTCGACGTTGAGGGTAGCAGGACCCCGACTACGTAGTTCGTAGTCGCGATCCATGACTAAGGCGAGGTTTTACCCCTCTGCTCTTAGCCGGTTAGGAAGAAGGGAGGAATAGAGGTTTAGATGATAATATCTTGCTTGCTTTATTCCATTCCACCGTATCAGACTAAATAGGCATTAGAGGCTAACAAACTAGGAAATAATTGTTCCTTAATCTATGGAACTGATTTGATACTCTTCTATCCTAGCCACTAGACGGCTCAACTTGCCCTGCATGCCCAGAGGGCGACGGCGCGGCGTATGTCTCGGGCGCGCCGTTTCCTCGCATAGGGGCGGCCCCACATGACAAGTGGTGTTAGTTACGTGATGTATATTCAGGGGACAATTGATGTAATTAACCAGATGGTTAAGGACAAAAGAACAGGGTTGCTCTTTGGGAATATCGACCCGCTGTACTAACAGTGCAGTTAACTGTTTTTTTTATTATAACAAGAATTCATGATTCATCATTATCAAAATAATAAATCCATAATCAAAGGTTAACTGGGAGAAGATTTGGGACAGCCAAACAGGTATGAAGTAGCTAATGAGATATATGCACATTCAAACAAAGATGATGATATAACACAAAAGGCATGCAGCCAAGAATTGTTATTCAGATCTTACAGAGTAGAAACCAATGCACCACAACAAATCCTATGTTATGATATTTCATTATTGCGGAACTATTAGTCTGCAAAGGATCTTATTCAAAGATACCTAACATCATCCAACATAATATGACAGGATTATGAATTGATATAGCAAACCTCTGTGAGATCATTAATTTCTAGTTTTTACTCTGAACAATCACTTCTACCTTCACAAGAGTATCAACATGACCTCCACAGCTTTAATTGGATTCAGATGAAGTTTCGTGAACTAATGTTAGTCGCCTCTTTATCCTAATGTGTTATTCTATTCCGCATGTCCTCAGATTTTGATAGTTTCACTTTCTCAACTTGAGTTAGTCACTATGGTCAAAATACATAAACGTATTCTAATGTGTTATTCTATTCCCTTATCTGAACTTTCACAAAAGCTATACTGATATCAAATGTTAGAAACAGAAAAGCGAAGACAATTAAGCAGTATTTTCTTCTTTAATCCCACAGGATGAAGCACCATTTACATACCATGGTTTATAAAAAGAATGAGGTATGCCTAATCAATTTTTATTTTATAAATTCAAACATTTATGCACATATTTACCATAACAATGAGTCAATGATCTTAGCATGTACTCAGGTTTAGATAAGGTATAAAGAAGTCAAAATACTATGTTGATAAGATGACATCATTACTTTCTGTCACCTCTGAAAAATTAGATCTAGTCATCGAGGTAACAAATTAAGCTTCATCACATCATAAGAGAAAAAGGGAAATGAAGAACATACAAATATTCACGTATTGAAGTTACTTCATCTTAAAAAGGTATCACTTACTCGTTCTACAATAATCTAAGGCTTATGCTAACAAGTACACTGGACCATTCTAGCCAAATTCATTGTGCTACCTTCTTTATGGGCATCACTTTGCATTCTATCCCTTAAAATTCTCCTCGCACGTCATCCACCCCACCAACACCATCGCCCCATCCCACCCAGATAGAACTAGCACCACACCACCCTTCATACTTGATAAATAGGGATAAGGGGGGGGGGGGAGCATGCCATTCTTGCTCAAATTATGTCTCATCTCCTTTCATGATTCTCCACGATGATGCCAGTTTCTAGTTCTTGCTATGGCTAGCTACCTACATAATGTTCTGGAATATCATCATGCCAACAGACTCCAAAGCCTACAGAAATTGCAATCCTCACCATTTGGGGGTTTGAGAATTGAGATGAATGGTTGAATTTCTATCTCATTGTACTTTTACATTGAAACCTATAGGTCACATGATAGGAATATTTGAATACATCTATCTACATATATTTATACTTTTGACAACAATTGATTGACGTGAACATTGGTTAAGGACCTTAGCCTTTAACTGAGATCATTTCAACTTCAACACAACCAGACACAGGCCATATTTTAACCATACTGTGATTCTGATCTGCTAAAGTGCTAAATGCCGCTTACATTGCTACAAGCATCTGGCCATCTGCTGTAGGTAATAGGTTGAATGCCATATTTTGCTGCAGACAATGCAGCTTTCACACTCCCTACTTCCAACTCACCTCGGATACCAGTATGGCAAAAGTTGCAAAACCACATTAGTCTCCAGATATCAAAATCAAACCTAACCCAAGGTGGAGTCGATTTGCTGGTTCCTCAGAAAACAAGAACCAATTGAATTGTTTGTTCTGTATGCATCCTGAAGCATCATTTTCGAACACACAGATACGGATATGGACTTACATTAAGCTCTTACGGTCTTGTCGGCCGGATTTGGACGCCACCGCGCTCTGCGAACCCACGCTCCCCTGCACACGAAAAATACAGTTCAGTACACCTGTGATACACTGAGTTAGAATTGAAAGATGAGGAATGAGGAACGCATCGCACCGGACCTGGTCGCCCCGCCGCAGCAACGAGTAAGCCCCCCGGCGCTGAGGAAACGGGAAACCACCCCCAATGTCAGCAAAACTTCAAGCGCACCAGCCGTGCATCAGGCAGATCTGAGGCCGGAGGATCCCACCCGCGCTGTGGGACATGTGGCGGCGAAAGGCGTGGCCTGCAACGACGAGGCGGCCGCCATTGGAGGCTGCGGCTTCGTCCTAGGTGTGGATACTGGAGAGGAGACGGCTTTACGGAGCTGTAATGCGAGGAGAAGGTGGGCTCGGAGGAATGTGGGCGGCGGCGGTGCAGGAGTGGATGCGGCGGCGGTGGCGAGGTGAAGCAAACAGGGACACTGCGACGGGCAGAGCGAAGCTTGCGAGAGCGAGGGCGCCGAGAGGGGTTGGAGTCGGAGGGAGCAGAGGTTTATGCTGCAATTATGCACCTCTTTTTTTCTTTTTGATTTTTTTAGGCAATCATCTTTTTTTCTTTTGAAAAAAGTTCATATTACCTCTCTCAACTTTTGCGAAACTCTGTTTTTCCTCCTTAACTCTAAAACCAGATAAACCACCTCGCTGAACTTTTAAAAACGTTCGTTTTACCTCCCTAACCGGTTGTAAACGGTTTTCAAAGACGGTTTTGTCTTTTTCTTTTTTATTTATTTTTGCTAAATTTTTAAAAAATCATAGTAAATCACAGAAAAATCATAAAATGGAAAATTTAATTTTGTTGGACTCCACGTGAGTAGATCTACACAATGAACATATAATATGGTATGCTTTAGTATAATTTTTGTGTTGTAGCTTTAGATCTATGTTTTTCTGTAATTAATTCATAACTGCAATTTCTATGGTTCAATTGTGGTAAAATTTTTATGGTAGGCTAATTACTATATTTTTGAACTATACTATAAATTTCATACTCATTGGATCATATATAACTTAGTTGTTGATTTATAAATACTTTTTAACAAACATACACCTAATTAAATTTATAACTAAGTTATACATGGTCTAATGAATATAAAATTTTTACTATAGTTCAAGCATACAATAATTAGCCCACCATAAAAAATTCACTACAATTGGACCATATAAACAATAGCTATGAATTAATTATAGAAAAGCATAGATCTAAAGTTGCAACAAAAAAATGTACTAAAACATACCATATTATATGTTCTATGTGTAGATCTAATCATGTGGAGTCCAAAAAAATTTGAATTTTCTATTTTATAATTTTTTTGTGATTTACTATGATTTTTTTTAAGATTTAGCCAAAATAAAAAAAAAAAAGACAAACCCGCCTTTGAAAACCGTTTATAACCTGTCATAGAGATAAAACGAATAATTTTAAAATTTTATGGAGGTGGTTTACCCGGTATTAGAGGTCAGAGAGAAAAACATACTTTCGTAAAAGTTGAGATAGGTATCTTAGACTTTCGTTTCTTTTCTTTTTTACGGAACAAAATCAGAACAGGCGCCAGAAGACGGAAAGATGACATGTGAGCCCGGACCGGAGGATGCCGGGCCTGCCGGCCCACCATCTCCGTGACCATGTCACAATGACTTGACGTTGTCCCCTATAAAAAAAAGGACTTGACGTCAACTCAGGAACTTTGAACTTTGGTTCCCAAAATAAAACACTCCATCCATCCTAGAATAAACCATTTTAAATTTCAAGAAGTCAACAATTCCAGATTTAACTAAATATATACCAAATGTTATAATATTAATGATATCAAACAAAAATCATTAGGTTAATCGTATCATACATTTTCATATTAAATCTATTTAGATATATAAATGTTGGTATTATTTTATATAATTGTCAGACTCAAAGTTAGTTGACTACTCAAAATACAACATGGTTACTTTTTTTTAACCTAGATGGTTACTTATTTTGGTACAGAGAAAATAAGAGCGTTCTTGATCTGTTACTATTGGAAGTATTACGTGTAAAATGTTGATTTTCTTTTGGTTTTATTAACTTTTAAGGGATCTCAATTAGAGATTAATGAACATTAGAACTAACTAGTGGGTTTTTATTTAACTAGTGTATACAAAAATACGTTGACATTACATAAACTTGGTTTGGAGAATTGCATTCTTTTTAGAACGGAGAGAGTAACTTCTTCATTGTTTTAAAAAACTACCTCACAAATTAAAAGCATGTTTGTATCAGTTAGAGCTAATTACTAGGTGGAGCTAAAAATTAGTCTAAGTTAGCTAGAGTTGGCCAGCTAATTGGCTAACAACTAGTCGTAGGCTTGGCTAACATATTAACCCATATATTAGCCCCTTGTTTTGGATGAGCTAAAGCTAATTTAGGCTAAACATTAGCCACTAACAATTAGCCCAAAACATCGAAACAAACCCTAAATAGTTTGAAATCTAAAGATGATCTAAGTTTTAAAATTACTAAGTATTTATTCCCCCATTTCTAGATTCCAAGCCACTTTAGTTTTGTCCTAAATCAAAGTTCTCTAGTTTTAATCTAATTTATAAAAGACACCGGCTTCTACAACATCAAATTCCTTTCACTAAGTTCACTATGAAATATTGGAATATATTCTCGTTTTCATTTATTTAGTATTGTTGTTGCTAGACTTTTTGCAAAAAGTTTGGTCAAACATAAAGATGTTTAACTTGAACAAAAAATTATCTCAAGAAACTTAGAGCAAAATTAAATTAAACAACTAATGAGGTGAGTTTGGCCGCCTGTTACTTCGAGGGGCGAGGGCCGTGCCAACGAGAATATGGCACCAGCCGAAGTGCCGAACATAGCATCGCTGCATCGGTGTCTGGAAGTGGAATCTGGAAAACAGTGGACGTGCCGGGGGGGAAAAACACGCGTCGCAGTAGGAAAACGGTTAGCGGTTATGCACACAGAATCACGTAGATCAAGCGACCGGAGTTGCACATCACATCACAACTGGAACACGAACACCAGACACGACACAAAAAGATGACACGCCGACCCGTCGAACAGCCGACGCCCGCGTAACTGTAACCCCGTCGTCGCCCACCGCCAGCCGGCGTGTCACACCCAGTTTTAAGGATAAAATTGAATGCACTAAGTTTATGTGTGCCTAGGAATCAATCACATATATAAGCTGACAAATTACATAAAGTATCATCACGGTGTCTCATACATCAGAGTTATAATAAAACTTAGTCTTATACATCACAGCGGAATAATAAAAAGATAATAAAACTCTCGTGGTCGTCATCACAGGGAAGGTCAACTGGTTGACCACAAGCCTAATAATCATCCGGGAAATCCTCATACCCGTTGTCATCTGTTACCCATCCGGGATTTTTATCCAAGTAAAGAAAATAAACAAGTGTAAGTACATTCCGTACTTAGCAAAATAACATGGGGTTATGAAGCTCAAAAAGGATAGACTCTGGTTTACTGTAGTTAGCATTTTTAATAGGTCAAGCTTTTATTCTCAAGTATTATCAAGTTATGCTTAAGCTCCCATTTAATTCCCATAAGAACATATATCGGGGTCAAGTGTACCATATATCATTATTGAACAACTTTAAATTATCATCAACAAGTAACCAGTTATTTTTTGAGTTTTCCGGGCCGCTCGTAACCGTGAGCACGGCTGTTATAACAGTTTGTTACCCTCTGCAGAGGTGGTGCACATTCACCGCGAGTCGTGATCCCCATATGCCCGGGTTAATTACTCCCATGTCACTTCCAAGGTGAGCGAGCAGGGTACACTATGAAGCCATTTCATAGGTTTCCCTAACAGGTTAGGGCCGCTAGGTTTCCTTGGCAGGCAGATGTAGGGACCCCCCTTTCCTATGGCACAAATCCATCGCGGCTATACTCATAGGAACAGAGGCAGCCCTATACCCAACGTGGCAAGCCCCATTTGCGCCAAAAAGGTAACCTCTAACTAGCTAGAAAAGGTCCTATTACTGAGCTAAAGTCAGAGCCATATGACTCTCCCGGTTGCACTGTCAGTCCCAGCTTTTGCCGACAGATAAGTCCTTATGGAGGGCCGGGAGCAACATGAACAAATGTCATTTGCACTTTCGCCCTATGGAACAGTTGTTATAAATCATGTTACTCACTTTGTTCCATAGTATCATTCATCAACAGGTATATCAAGTTCAGTTAGAGCACTAGCAATCTATCCATATGCATTTAACCCATAGGAGACAAGAAACAGGATAAACAATCACTAGGATGTTCTTACGGGTATCAAAATTAGACACATGCAAATGAGTAATTGATTAAAGTGAGATAGGACATCAAGGAAGGCCCGTGTTATACTTGCCTTGGTTCACAAACTCGTGCTGGTCCTGCTGGTCGTCGAAGAGTTCTTGGTCTCCCACGTTTTCCTCACCGTCTGAATGCGATCAACACCGCAACATACAACATTCCAAAAGCATTCATGCAAAGCAAACATTCCTATCATTAGAATAGTACACCAACAGTATTGAAATCAAGGTAAAATGTTTGTAAAACTAATCTACGTCTCGCTACGATCACGTCAACGCGAAGTTCACAAAAAACGGAGCTAAAATGCGAAAGTTATGATTTAAACGGGTTTTCCTATAGCCATATATTTAATTAAATCTAATCATGAAATTAAAAAGTTCTAAACTTGACTAACAGTAGCTCCCACATGTAGCTTATGAAATTACGAAGCTAACGCGATTTGAATGGATCAATTCGGAGCTAAAACGACAATTTTATAAGCAAAACAGTTCAAATGGCATTTCTGTAATTACTGAAAACGTATTTTTGACTTAAGCCGTGGAGTTTACGCTTTCCAAACGGGATTGCGCGTTTGGGAAATACGCTTTGGGCTGCGGGTTAGGACTTAGAAAAGTCCAGGGACTCTTTAGCAAAATTACCCGCGAAGGGGTAACTTCTAATCCTGGCCGTTGATCTCGCGATGGGCGGCTAGGATCGGCCTGGGGAGGGACGGCCGGCCGAAACAGTGTCACCGGCGGCCAGGCGCCATCGCCGGCGACGTGGAGGTCATGGTCGCGCGCGGTTAGGGTCTAGGGTTCACCAAATGGACATCCAAGGGCACAGGTGAGCGCGGGGAAAGAAGGGGGGTCGCGGCCATGCCGTTTCGGCAGCTGGGGACGGCGGCTAGCGAGGTGGCCGCCATGGCCGGCGACCATGGCTCGCGGAGCTTGCGGCCAAGGCTCAAGAAGCCAACAAAACGAGAAATAAACTACTCGGGGAGATAGAGGGGAGGACGGCGAAGCTCACCAAGGGTGAAATGGAGACGGAGGCGGCTCGGAGGAGGCTGTCCACGCGGAGGGGCGGTCGACGGAGCTCGGAGACCTCGGGGCGACGGTTGCGG